GTTGTTTTTTTGGTTTGTTTTTTTGTTTTTTTTATTACTCCCCCTGTAATTCACAGAGCTTGAATAAATGGAGCGTGAGCCTGAAGCATTTGAAAGCAGAGCGTGTTTGGTTTTTAGGTTTTCCTGCTTGTTGCAACCTGTAGTTGAACAGCAAGTTAATAATTAAAGGGAAGGAAGGAAAAGCAAACTTCCTGGGGAAGATAGTGGCCATAGCACCCAGCGCAGCACCTCTGTTTCTATGTAAATGATGTACATCTCTGCGTGTGCCTACCTGGAGGTCTCCTCTTCTTCCTCTCCTGCTCCTCATCTTTCTCCCTCCACCATAGGTCTTGCCCTGATCTGGGAGGCAAGGAAATATTTGTAGGAGGCAGAGAATAAAAAAATCAGACCTCTTGACCGAGGAGCTGCCAAGCTTTTACCTTTGGCCTCAGCAACCTCATCGCAGGGTGGCCGATGGAGCAAGGGGGCCCCTGTAGCCCCCAGCCCGGTTGGTGCCTCTGTGCAGCCCCGCACTGCCCCGGCATCCCCAGCTCAGCCCCGGCTCCAGCGCTGGGTGAGAAATGTCCTCTCACACTGCCGGCTGGTTGCTGGACCCCAGCCCAGGTCATGCCTGCAGAAACTGCTTCAACTGTCATTTCTTACCTGCCAATATTTATCTTGTCCCTGTTAGGGATACCTGAATCTTGTCTGTACAAACCACTAGCACTATTGAAAAACAATCTGCTTGATAGACTTATATGACTGCAATTGATGGCGATATCTACAAGGCTTTTAAAAATTTTAATAGTCCCCATGTGGTCTCTCTTTATTTCACCGCTGACTGGCTTTGCTTGCTATTTGTCTCCATCCATCTCGTTTCTTCTGAGCAGAGCTTGGAGTCCCAGCTGGAGTGCTCCCTCCTAGGGCTCCCAGGACATTGCACCAGTACAAATAAGACCAAGGACAACATTTTTGGCTATTAAAATCCTACCTCGGCTCCATAAATCCTGGAATATTACGTAGACAATACTTCTGTCCAAATAGTTTTTTCCTTCTGTTTCTGCAGTATTTTCTTGTCTAAGCGTTAGGTTCCTGCTGAACTACGCACAAGCTTGCCAGTGTCTCTGCCTCGCTGTAGGAGAGCCAAAGCCCTGATTTGGAGGCAAAACCGTATACGAACAAAATCTAAACAAGCCAGAATATTGAATATACTTCCTAAACCTTCAGAGAGGGATCAGCACATCCACTGTCCTGGGTCTGCCCTGCAGCCTGTCCAGGCTGCCCCACCACAGGCCACACACCTCCAAAATCAGATTACAGAGTCAGCAAGTACAGTCTGCAGTTCATGTCCTTGGTTGGACAAGGGGAACAAATCATGCAGGCTACATGCAAGTTTTTTTCCAACCTTTTAAATGTTTTTGGAATGGAAAGGCAATCAGAACAAGCTACTGGTCTGCACCACCAGTAGGTCGGCTTTGGACACCAGGTCTCCCAACCTTGGTTTCTGCTTGAAATGGTTGACTTTGGAGACCAGGTCTTCCAACCTTGGTTTCTCTTGAAATGGCATGGTTTATTTCATCTTTTTTAATCTTCTGGGATTGGGGTTTCTATTTTGGTAAACATAAAGGTCACCTTTGACACCTAGTGGTCATAAACCAAGATGTGTCATTCTCAGTGTAAAAAAATTGTAATATACAAATAATTTTGCCTTGCTTGCTCATCTTGGGAAAGCCAGTTTGTGCAGTGTCTTTTACTTCACTTTTATTCTTTGGGAGCAAAGATTGGGTTTCAGTAGATCCATCACCTTTTGTGTTTCAGAAGTAGAATATTTATGAACAGAGAGAGATTGTCCAATTTGAAAAAAGCACTGTAGTGTAACACCGTCAAATAAAACCTGTTGGAGCTGTGTAAATACTGTAAATACTTTGGGTATTTACTTGATGTATACCATAGTTTAAACCAGTTAAAAAAAAAAAAAAAAAAAAAAAAAGGAGTCAGTACTATTTTTATGCAGATAACAATGTTCCTGCCACACAAAGCTCAATGAGTTAATAGCTGGCACAAAGTTGAGCCATAAGCTCTCTTAACAAATGACTAGTGTGAACTCCACAGCGCACTTTTCAAATATCAGCTATGATTATCGTTTCAGAAATAACTTATCCTACTGGGCACGGAGGAGGATAATTTCAGAGTACTTTGCAAGCCTCTTGAAGTCAGTAACTGATAGGCTTGCCTAATGCTGGGGAGGTGTCTCAAAGCATCAAGGTGCTGTCAGAAGGCAATTGAAATAGCATGAGTTGAGGATATAATGCTGAGGGGAAAGAAAACTGTACGTGTGTGGTCAATGGTGTGCTATGTCCCCAGTGCTTGCATGCAGGGGGTCCAGCAGTGAGCACCACCAGGGGCAGTGGTGTGTGCGTGCGCCTGGCCATGCAGCCCACAAGGCTCACTGGCCACCACCATGGGGTTAGAGCATCCTGCAACCATGCCCAAGAGTGATCTTGCCTCTTAAGTGGGAGTTGCCAGCCCTCAGCACTGTGCCCCAAGGATGCCCCTGGGGGATACGCTCCACCTGCCCTACAAAGAGTCCTGTGAATT